GGTGCGGTAAAACGAGCGAGGTTGGCGATCAGTTGACGATTGAACGATTGACGACTGACGATGTGGATGGGGACAACCACGCACTCCACGACGGGATTGCGGCGCCCAGAGCAAGGAATTTCCTGTGTTGTCCCACTGTCACTGTCGGCCCAGGCGGGAAGGCAGGAAAGCGGGGTGGGCTGTCCGCCAAAACAGGAACAGGCGGCCAACACGAGGTGCCGTGGCTGTGCCGGGAAGAAACATGGACAACAATTGGGCCAACAATGTCTCGTGGCCGGGCAATTGGGTTAGCCGTTTGGGGGAGAAACATCCATTCTCGTGCTCGGAATCCCTGCAGGAAATGAGATCATCCGCATTAGCGAGGCCGCAGAGAGCGCTGCGGTTGGCCAGCCAAGGATTGTGGGCCAGGAAGCTGCTTCTTTGGGTAAGAGCGACTAGAGACTGGACTAGATTCTCCGAGTTTTAAAAACAAGCCAGTAACAACCTCAAACTTGATTATCACCATAAATACTCTTTTAACTGGCTGATAATCTGTAAAGTATTTCATCCATGGAAGGCTGCCCTTGGCGCGATCAACTCACTTTGTTCTGTCATGCGGCTAGATGCACGGGCAAAGTAAAGCAGCTCCCGTCATGAAGGATGAGGAAACTTTTTTGTTTAATCTTCGCAAGAAGGTTAAAATGATCCACGTAATGCTGACGGCAATCTCCATTCGTCGGTGTTCCTTCCATGCAACCCGCCAACATGGGAAGTCTTGGCGGTGATGCGGAGCCCAGACACGGGAAAATTGTTTCGTCCATTTTCATACTTGTGCACTGCAGTGCTCAATTGGAGCAGCATTGCTTACTGAAAGCGAGGTATAGTAAAATGGGGTGTGCTTTGACTCAATACAGCCAAAGAAGAATGCCATTTGCCAATGTCGTGGTTCGTTCTTCAAAGTCAAAGCTTCTTCAAACTGCAAGGTTAGCTCCACAGACAGAACGAGTCAAGAAAGATCCCGCCACCCGGTTTTCAGGACATCTGGTCCTCACCTTCACATAAATAGGTAAGCTCCAAGTCTGTAAAAGAGGAAGACCAGGAAGAGCTGTGCGCAAACACTGTTTTCCGAGACTCGAGTTAGCCTTATCTCGGTTATGGCCAGGTAGACAAGGCGGTGCAATTTGGCGGCGTGATTCTGGCCGCCAACTCACACAAATTCTATTATGCTCGAAAGTCTCAGAATGCCAAGCATATATGGAGCGAAATCGGCTTGCTGTGGGCACTTTCAGGTACAAATTGCGGATTACAATGCGGTTAATAGTCGATATAAAACATGCCACATTCTGGTGCAAATTATATACTTAATGAAAGAGAAAGGAAAGATGGGAAAATGGGAAGAGAGGAATATGTCACCCAAATATTAGTAGCACAGTAGTAGTAGGTAAGGGCGAGTATAATTGAGTAAAGACTCTCAGTCTCGAACACGCCATTGTATTTAGTACAATAGGGAGTCAGTGTTGTATTGAAATCCATTTCTTTATTACAGCTTTGGTGTAAATGATTCCTGTTGTATTAGAGAATCCGGGGTATTGGGAGAAGCCCGTGTTTCAATGTCTCAGGAACCATGTAAGTTACTGGCAGTACCACTTGGGAAAAGAATCGACATAAAATATACTACCGGAGTTCCTGATGGCTGGAATATCATACCTTCCATGACCTTAACCTCTTGAGGTAAGATGTATTGGGCAGCGCCCGTACGCTGGCGAGCGAGAACCCCTCCTCCTCGACCATTTCATCAAAGTCGGCCAAGTCATCCCACTCCCACTCCTCAGACACGGACGCCGGCACCACCGCCATGATGCAATGCGGTTTCGTCCACGCCGACCCAAAGTCGACCAGAAGACCGGCCTTGAAATTAGGGGCGCGAATGTCCCGGTGCAGAATGCCGTGTTTGTTGAGGGCGCGGACGTTTTTGAGAATGACCTTGAGGGTACGCAGATCCAAGGAATTATCATCATGGTCCGGTGCCGTCTCGATGAAGTCCTTGACGATAGCACGGACGGGACTGCCCTCGGCCTGAGCACGGTACTCGTGGTCTTCCGGGTAATTCTCCCACAGATCGATGCCCATCTCCTCCAGGGCGAGCTCATCTTTCCTTCGGAGCGACATAAATCCGTGACAGCGAGCTGCGATCTGCCGCCGCCGCTCCGATTCTACCTTCTTGATGCAGCCGTAGGCGCGGCATTCGGCGTAGAAGGGGTCTGTGTGGAAGGCGAGCAGTTCGTCGGTGACGGTTTGGCCGTCCATCTCGCTCATGATATGGCGCTCGGTGGATGGGTCGTAAAACTTGAACTGTGGTTTTTAGAAAATATTTGCGGAATTCATTACTATCACCTATCTTGCCCTATTTTGTGGGGTTGGGAGTAAACAAACAAGAACATACAACTTTTAGCGCATAGATTTTCGATAGGATCTCGACCTTGAAGACGAAGCCCTGCGATGAGTTTTCGGATTCGGGCGTCGACTTCTCCAGCAACTCGAGCCACTCAATGGGAGCCCGGCTGTGCGCAAACATGGCAATTTTGGGCCCTTCGCAGGGAGGGAGTTCCTTGGACTTGAGGAGCTGCCGATTGGCTTTCACTACGCTCCCCATGAATTCTGCCTAGGAGTGCTGCCTGGGTCCCAAAGATCATTGATTTCAGGTTGCCTGACGTGCTAACAGTTCATGATCTCAGGGAAGAGGAGAGGATAACGAGGCTGCACAACTCTGGGGCGAAATCTTGCCCTGGGAGCGTGAATATTTCATAGCAGGAGAAATTGGCCCCCCGTTGTTGCGATTGGCGAGAGATAGCGGACTGCTGCAGGTAGAGCGGGGACCCTGATGAAGGTTGCAACTGACACCTCAGGCGCAGCTGCTATTTGCTGGACATTCCCGCCGTGCGACCACATTCATGCATCATTTTCGCGATGCATGCTGATGGCTGACGCAGAAAAGCCAGCCTATCTGCTCAAGCGCCAGTGGCTGGCTTCCCACAGGTTCAAGAAATGCATTTCCTCTACCACTGACTCATTGATGTTGCAGGCGGCTGTTCATTGCTCCAAGTGGTATTAGAGGGGCGTGTTCCCGCACACAGTGAGGTCCAGTCAGATGAACGGAAGACTCGCCCAGGGCACAGAGTGCCAAGCATCCAATCTAAATTACAATCACCGACAAGGACGTGCAACTAACACGCCACGAACGCCATGGCGACCAGTCATGCGACGTCCATCTTCGAGTACCTCACAGCCAAAAACCCCAACTTGGTTTACGAAGAAGAGAAGAACGCAACGCAGACCAATGGGACCTGGATCCGACCGAAGTATGTCCGGCCATGGGCCGAATTCAGCTTCGAGACCATGGAAAAGGTGTTTGATGGGAAGCTGATGCAGGAATGCCGGCGAGAGAGGGTGCTGACGTATCCGGCCCCTCCTCTCATACCCGAGATCGACTGCATTGAGAATGGCGAACAAGCGACAGTGAGAATACTGGAGAGGTGGACCCGCGGCATGGTTAACGAGGCGTTGAAGCAAGTTGTCGGCACCTTCTACCCCGTATTTTGGGCCAGTCGGGCTACGTCCAAGAAAAAGGCCTCGGATGCGGCGCTCAGCGAAACCTCATCCCTGGTAGACGCAACACCGGCTGGAGGGACGAGGCGGCCAAGACGAGCATCACAGTTGCGCCTGACCCTAAGCAAGAGTAAGCGTCGTCAGCCACGACCAGACGGCGCTTGCATTCCTCTCGAGGCGGATCCTTTGGTGGTCACAGGAAACAAAAACACAAATCAGCTCCCATGTGAGATCAAGCCAGGCAGCAAGTGGACGAGTGAAAGCCTGCTGGCAGGGGACCTGACCGAGGCAGACGGGAAGCTTCGCACAAAGAAGCATACCCAGAACCAAGCGAGGCCCATCATCCAGCTCTACCACTACTGCGTTGTTGCCAAGGCCAGGTACGGCTTTCTCATCACAAGCAAGGAGATCGTCCTCATACGCATAAAGCCGGCGGCTGCCAGTGGCACACCGCCGCGAGAGGCATCCCCAGCAAACGCGACGGCTCTTCATCAGGAGCTCAGGTACAACGGGCTCATGGAATACAAAGCCATCCCGTGGGCAAATCACTGGTCACGCCTTGATGGTCAAGAAGATGGGGACTACAGAAACCTGACCATCAACCTATCCCTGTGGATCCTATGCGTCCTGGCCGGGAACAGCGGTGACCCGGACTGGGACTACCAGCCCCTGAACAAGGAGATGTTGAGAGAGAAGATGCAGGCGGTGGAGGAAAGCAAGAATGATGATGACTACGAGGCTGCCACAGAACCGACCCAATCAGCCATGTCATCCTTCTGCTTCTCAGAACCTGCACAGTCCTTTTCAGCATCGTTCTCGCATCTGTCAGAGAAGATGCAGGTGCGTGTACCTTTTCCACCAAGCCTTGTGTATCATGTCTGCTATACAATACCGGTTCTAACGTCAACTTTTACCGGTCTTCCCACAGCCACCCTCCTATATCATGGGGGAAAAGGAGGCAGATAAAGCCAGCGAGAGTCATATGAACAGCAGCCCAAGGAAGAGAAGGAGGCAGGCAAATGACGTCGTTCCCGATGATGCAGGAGCAGCTGATTCGAACTATGTGATGGATAATGGAGAGCGAGGGCGTCTACTCAGAAGGAGGAGAGTAATGTAATAATGTTGGGTAAAATTAATACGACGTGGCAGGTAGGCGAAGAAGAAGTCCGCAGTATGATATTCTGTATCTTAACAAGGCGTGTCTTATACATTCTCCCCTCTCCACCCCATTATGCAGCCTTATCCTAGCAAGACATTGTGGATTCCCAGGCTCTTCTTCCCAAACCATCACAGGAACGTGGAGCCGTGAACCAAACCCTGCCCATGTCTACCTGTGTAGTAGTGAAGTCGCAATTCCCAGCCGAAAATTCATCCAAACCCAGAATTCTATAGCATGTGTCCACACTTGCAAAAAATCTTCCATAGTATAGTGGTCAGTATATGAGCTTGTCATTTCACGCAACAACGCTCGGGACCCGGGTTCAATTCCCGGTGGGAGAGTTACAGATGGGGGGGGGGCATGTAAAAGATTCAGGTCTCCTACTTTTTTTGGTATATTTGTTAGCATCCAAGACTTCTTTGTTTTTCTCCATGTTCTTGGGATGCAGAAGGTGTCGAGCCAGAAAATGGTGTGGGAATCACTACTACTACTGTCTGCCTCCCCCGACGTGGCCTAGTCAACAAGTGACTAGATTGTCGCCGTCTGCCATAGCGGGATAGAGTTGCTGCTGCTGTTCCCCAGGCCGGCCGCTATGATATGGCCGATCGCGGCGAATAGCGCGGCGTGTTGGCACCATGTTGGCCCATGTCGACCGCACTCATCTCGAGACGTGGCGGTGTGTATAGTTGTGTTGCGAGCCGGACCCGGCGAACCCTTCCCGTGGTGATGACCCCTTGCTCCAAAATGGCGGAAGACGAGATATGCTGGTAGCCGCGGCCCGGGTGAGTATGGCTAGGTGATGGCTGATAGTTCTTAGGAGGGGTGTCTTTGTCTGCTGTACGCTCTTCGTGGTCACTACCTAACCATTGATGGTCGACGATTAGAAGCTTAGATGGTATCTGTACAGGACGTCCAAAGGCACTTGCTTGATGTCTTCTGGGAGTCAGCGACCTCGCAGCAAGATGTGGTCAATTATCTGTAATGACTGGAGCTGCTCTGCAAAAGTTGCATATGGAAGGCATGCGGAAGGGTCCGACGAGAAATCTGACTTGCGAGCAGCGACAGCACAGCAGGCTGAAGGGTATCGGCCATCAGAAGGAGAACATCGGCGGTGCTCAGGAGGCGTCGGCTGAAGGCATTGGCAATCTCGGACATTCCCTCGAGTGGTCTCGATTCTGAAGAGGTTTGTCGCGGGTCTTCCAGGAGGAAATTACTTGAGCCAAAGGGTATTGCTAGATAAATGAGATCGGTGGGCGTTCAACGGGGACATGCAGTCAGTGTTGGAGGCATGAAGACGTCTTACAAGGCTCTGAATTAGTTGAGGGTATTACATTGGGTCGAAGGTCTCTTGAAAGGAGAAAAAAAAAAGGCAGAAAAAGCTCGGGTGACTTGTTCGAGGTTCGAACCCGCCACCCTACGAAAAACCGGCCGGGAAACTTTTTCATAGTTGACCATGTTGAGCAGAGACTCGCTGCGCCAACGTCCAATCGTACAGGGCGGTTCCCCCCCCTGCTGAGGTCAGCTTGGGAATTCGACCCGCAACCTGCCTTTTAAACTCTGGCGCGCTTCAAATCATGCCCAGCGAAACTGAAGTCGGACGGAGGACATGGGCTGCCAAGCCAGCCCCCTCCGGAGGGTCTCGTTCTCGAGGCGATAGGCTCGCCTGCATAACAAAGAGATAGGGAAGAGCCAAGAAAAGATAGTTTGATAAAACCAATTCCGAGATGTGCAGATCTCGAATCTGCCTTGTTCTTTACTCTTGTTTGGTTGCGAGGTGCCTCGGCTGAAAATACATGTAGCACAGCCACATCCGACCGCAATTTATTATTACTGTGGAACCCACCACATCCCATCCGCGTGCGTCTTCATTTTCCTCAAAGCAATGCGCAGACTAAGTTGTTATGCCCCTCTCGTAGTCGTCGATATCCGCACCTCAACGACATGCAACCTATTGGCCGTATGTCAATAAAGACACCTCGCCATGGCAAGCGATGACAATGCCCACCTGGATCTAGACCACATCCGATGCTACAGCCTACCGTACGGCGCCATCGGCTTCGTCTCGCACATACTCACCATCTGGACAGCCATCTGGCTCTTCTTCGACCGCAGCCCGTGGCTGCCGTCGCGCACAAACACACGTTACCACCTCGACAAGTTCCTCGCCTTCGCGGGCATCGTCGCCAGCGCCACTACCACCGTGATCGTCATGGTCAAGTGCAGCCGGTCGTCGCAGTGGGAATACGCGCTGATCGCGGCCTGCAACACGGTGTGGTCGTGCGCCTTTTGCCTCATCAGCGCCACGTCGGCGATGCACATCCACGCCCAGAATGTGAAGAAGACGCCCACCAAGGATGTCCTCATCACCCCCGAGCCGCGCTACGGCCCGCCGGCGGGGGGAGCCCCGTTGAGAATAGTTCATAATCAGGCTATGGGAATAAAGTATTCGAATCGCGGCCCACTGTTAGCTGCTGGCCCGCCCAGGTGTGAAACTCGTCCTAGGACGATCTTCAGCTGGGTCGATGGTGACGATCCCCGCATTTTGGCTAGATTCAGGCCCTTCCTCGCGATATCTTTGCTCGGGAGCATCATCGGGATGGTGGGACTGTTCTCTCTGGTGCGGCGCGAGTGGAGTGCGATCCCGGCTGTGAGATATCTGGTCCTCGGGCTGGCGGTCGTGGGGGTGTTGCTGTTCGGGGCGGTGTTCCCATGCTGCTTTTTTGTTCGTCGGAAATGGAATCGTGCCTTGGCTGAGTATGATATGCAGGAGGTACCTCGCCGCGGTCCTTCCACATTCCGCTGTATTCTAAAAGATGCCTTTCTTGGACTGTTTCTTGTTGGAACCCTAGCCTTGTTGTTTGGCGATTGGATTCTAGCGGCCATTGCGGGGAACGTTGTTGGTGCCCCGGATGGGATAAACGCTGCGCTGTATTGGACGTATTTTGTGGCTAAGCGACTCCCTTTCTTCTCACTTTAGAGGCCATTGTTCAGATACAATGTGAACCACGGAGTTACGGGTGCTTAGTTGCTTTGGTTAGTAAATTGACCACAGCAGCATTTTTCTTTCATTGAGCTCTCATTGAGCTCTCAGTCTCATGTTGTAGCTCTAAGCTGTTTCGTGGTGTACGGTCTTGCTTTATCACCAAGGTAATTGCTTGCCCTCGTGAAAAGCAGCAAGAAAGAAAGAAATTCTCATTGAGAAATATTGAGATGACATAAATAACTCGAAAAACCACCCTTCTCTCATCATTCACACGAAAGAGTCGACGACACCCAGGCTCAACTGTGGATATACTCTCCACACTCCACAGTGTATGGCCCAGCTGTGAGAGAGTGGACCTGTTGTCTTCCCGAGGCTTGGCTCCAAAAAAATTATTCCCTCCAGGGGTTGCAAACCCGCACCCACAAGCACTCGAAACAGGTCAATCCTGCCGATGAAGGTACCATGCCAGAATGGCCATTTCCGATCAGAGGATAATATCCAAACAGAAAACAAAGAAGCGTCAGTGGTTTAGTGGTAAAATCCATCGTTGCCATCGATGGGCCCCGCGTTCGATTCGCGGCTGACGCATACGTTTTATATTTTGGTAATTTTTAGGTTGGGGTGGGATCAATTTCTCTGGACCTTGTCATTTTTGCTTCTCTCCTTTTTTTTCTTTTTTTTCTTTTGTCTCTTTCCATCCCAATCTTTGACCACCAGTCGAAAAATCTCCATCCACGCGTTCACAATGATTTCTCAATCCTCCTCCCTCACACAATACAAAGTTTTCCTCCAATGCGCTTCCTAAATTGCATTACACTTGTTTTCATCGAATATTTGGTTTCCACAAGTTTCACGCTTGAGGTAGTCTCTCAGGGAAGGCCCCAGCATGCAACGGGCATGTCAGCCCACGGGCCATGCCGCGGGGGGAAAAAACAACAGCGGCAGCTCCCGGGAGACGATCAGCTAAAAAGAGAGACAGAGAGTCTGGGGAACAAGCAAAAACGCAATTTCAAAATGTCGCTTTTTTGTTCCTGGTTGACTTTCTGCATGGCACCATTGCTCAGCTTAGGTTAACTCGAACCAGAATAAACAAAAGTCGGAACCGCCTGCTAATTAATTACTAGTTCTAACCAGTAACAATAATCACTTGTGACCACTTGATCGACTCAGAGTGTGGCACCCAACCGGACAATTTGGACAAGAAAACAAGGCATAAAAGTCGCACCAATGAATTGAGTAGGTTTTGCATGGATGAACACCACCTCCGTTCCGTTTCCAACGTGCGTGCACACGGCACATTCCAAACCCGGTAAAACTCAGTTTCATTAATTGAACCCCCGCGTTTGCTGGGCGCGCGCACAGTGCACTGTCCCAGGGTTGTGAACTTGCAACTTGGATGCTTGGATTTAATGGATTTGGCTCGGGCCCCCTTCCTTCAAAAGGGTTTACGGGAATGTGGGCAGCCTTTCCCGTGAAGGGGAGCGTCGATCTCCAAACGCAAGAAAAAAAAGGGGAGGAAAATCTCGAGACTTCACGCAGATTTTTCTTTTTGTTCTTTTATTGGAAATTTTGTGAGTATTGCTAAGAAACGTTCGGGACCGGCGTGTGGTTTGTAGCAGGGACATGAAGTTTAACTGGTCCAAGTTTTTTTTTCCTTTTCCGGGTGATGTTCAAAGAGGCACGTCAAATATCACTGCCGGTGGCAAGCACACAGAGGAAAGAACAGAAGAGTAAAAGCAATATAAAAACAACTTGGTGTTTCTGGGTATCACAGAACATGCATAATACGTAACATGAGATTTGTCTTTTTTTCCAATTTCTTTTTCCAATTCTTTTTTTCCGTTTTTTCTTTTCATGTCATCCTGAAAAGAGCCTCCTTAACCCCTGTTTCCTCCGTGACGCCGTATCAATCTTGGCCTGTGCCTCGACCGCCGACCAGCGGTCCACCATGTTGTCGTCCCCGCTCATGCTGTTGCTCCTGAACGGGGAGACCTGCTTGATGATGTAGTCGTCCTGGTAGTGCAGCGTCGTGGCTGACGTCTTCTTGCACACGGCCGGGAGGTCCGGCTTCAGTTCGTCCGTCCCAAGCGCAGACGTAAGAAAGAATACCTCGCTGCCGTGCGGGCTGTGCTGTTTGGACGGGCGCTCTCCTTCTTCGTTCTTGGTGTATTCTCCGCCGCTCTGGGTCTCTCCGCTCCCGCTCCGGGCGCGCCACCCGCGGTAGTTGAGCTCGAACTGCATGTCCGCGCCGCGGTCCTCGTGCTTGACCTCGACTTCTTCCATCACAAAGATCTTGAGGGCGGTCATGCGCAGCAGCACAGGCCAAAAGACAGGCACGGACGCGCAGATGCTTGCCAA